GAAACCTGGATCCAGAGTCTGTCCATATACTGAGGTCCAGGCAGCTGTGGTCAGCACAGGACACTGTGCACAGGTTACCCACCCTAGCACACATGCACTTCCCCTTTAAGAGTTTCTTCCCATCCTCATCCCAGCATTTCAGTCCTAAAGGACCCCATCCAGAGCCCCAATCTTTCAGCTGCTGCTTTGATCCCTCCCCTATATCTGTCCCCTATATCTCTTTGCCATTACTTTCAATGGCAAAAACTGAAATTACTTTTGCACCAAAATCATACATCATATAAACATGAGATACGTTATTATAATTGTTGTTATTTTTAGGGATGAAGGAGTGTGCCTGGGGTTCTTCAACATTTTAGTCTGGAGGTTTTAACCACTTCCTCTCCCAGGAGATTCTTTAACATTCAAAGGAATGAATCAGAGATAGTGGGAGGGAGGTACAGTGACATCAGTCTTCTCATCTGTAAAACGGGGTGGTGTGAATGTCAGTCCCTTAGGGAATTTGCGAGGATTGAAAGAGATACAATGGTAACACACATAGCATTGGCCCCTGTATGTACCCTATAACTATGGTACGTTTCTAGTACAGTTTATGATGTTATCATTGGGGGTGAGGAGTCTAACTGGCATCTCCCAAAACTCACCTTAAAAGTGGCTGCTGAGACCCTCCTCTGCTTCCCCTTGGGCCTAGAAAATGGATTTGGCTCTTTTTTTTTTTTTTTTTTTTTTTGAGATGGAGTCTTGCTCTGTCGCCCATGCTGGAGTGCAATGGCTCAATCTCAGCTCACTGCAACCTCCGCCTCCCAGTTCAAGCGAATCTCCTGCCTCAGCCTCCCGCGTAGCTGGGATTATAGGTGCCCGCCACCATGTCCAGCTAATTTTTGTATTTTTTAGTAGAGCTGGGGTTTCACCATGTTGGCAGTCTGGTCTCGAACTCCTGACCTCAGGTGATCCACTCACCTTGGCCTCCCAAAGTGCTGGGATTACAGGCGTGAGCCACCGCACCCGGCCCAGCATTTGGCTCTTTTAAATTCCACTCCTTTCTCATTCGCTGCACACGGCTGCCCAGTCCCGGGTGTCATCTGATTTTCTCCATTTGGGACATTCCAGCTTCTTTCTCACAGCAAGCAAATCAAATAACAGGCAGCTGGACTGCTCGTTAACGGTCCCAGACCAGGAGAGAGGCACTGATGGGGGAAGAGCTGGGGCCTGAGGTCTGGAAAGCACACTCCTGGTTCCCCACAGAGCCGGCTCCTGCCATCCTCCAGTCCCGGCTCTGCACAACCCCCGTCGTGGGCTGGTCCCCTGGGATCTGCCTCTGGCTCCCCTCTCAGGCCTCCTGTCCCCCTGGGTCCCCTTGGCCGGCCCTCCCTGCAGCTCCCTCTTCCTTCTGCCTCATAGACACAGTCTTTGCCACATCACCTGCTTTCCCCATTGGCATGGGTGACATGCGTGTGCCCTGGAGTCCCACCCCCAGTTCATTGCACAGGCCGTGTGCCTCACCAGGCTTGCCCTCCCCAGTGTCCTTCTCCCATTCTTTAGGAAGTGGCCCAGTCCTGCCTGCTCCAACGATTGCCTGCCCCAGGTCCCTAAGAGCCCTCCCTGAGCACTCATCTGGTCTTGAGCATGGTCTTTGGTGATGGCACCTTTTAGTGAAGTCTCTGATCTGTCCCCAATCCCAGGAGGGAGGCAGGGCCTAGATTTTATGGAAGATGAACCTGAAGTGCAGGAGTGTAGCATGGTTTGCCTAAGGCCACACGACTGGCAAAGCCCATCTAGAATCCTGGTCTTGGCCCCCAGACTCACCAGATGCCTGTGTGCCCCGTGAGGACAGGCACCTTCTGCACCTCCATTTTGGAGAATTGTTTTGTAAGAAAATCATTTCCCCTCTCTTGTCTCTGAATTTTCCTCTCCCGTGGCAGGTTTCTACCTGTCCCAATTCTCTGCCTTACCCATTCCTCTCCTCTGCCCTTTGCTCAGACCTGGGAGAACACACCTATACAGGGAAAGGCCCAGGATGGTCCCCTCAAGTTGCTTTGCAGGCCTGGAAGCTGCTCATAGCACAGCACTGGCCAATAGAACTTTCTGCGAGGATGTGCATATTCTTTCTCTCTACTGTCCAGCTCCATAGTCTCTAGCTGCAGTGTCCACTGAACACTTGAAACCAGGCTGTTGCAACAGACAAGCTAAAATCTAAATTTTATTTAATTTTAGTTTGTTTAAATGTAATGAGTTGCATATGAATAGCAGTTTCTGTATTGGACAGTCCAACACTAGGGTGTCCCTCCAGGAGCACAGAGAAGGCACCCACAGACAAGGCCACTCACACCATCCACCTGTGGCACAGTTCCCTTCCTCTGGCTCCAGCATCTTCCCCTATTGACCTCAGCCACCATTTCCAGTCACCCCTCTCTGATCCTACTTTCACCCCCATTCATTGTCCCCTCTGGCCTGCAGCAGCCTCCTCTTTGGCCTTACTGGTTTGCCAGCCATAAGCACTCACTCTAGGGGCATAACTGCCTTGCTCAAAACCCTTCAATGTCTCCCTGTTACTCTTATTTAGATCTAACTTTCTCTAAGGCCCCTCTTGACCTGAGCTGCCCGTCTCTCTCCAGCCACATCTCCTACTTCCTCACCCTCCCAGTCCTCCCGGGTCCTGGACTTCCCACACTTCTCCCAATTCCCTCTGGCCTCCAGCCTCAAAGACTGTTCCCTTTGTCCCCTTAGAACAAGGCTTCACTCACCCACTTTTGCCTGGCAAACTCCTATTCATCCTTCAGTTCTTCATTTGAAAATCACTTCCCTAAGGAAGGCTGCCATGACTGCCACCACCATCAGACAATGCTGCCTGTAATGCATTCCCCAGGCCCCTCTCTTCTTTCACTATTGTAGCTTTTTTTTTTCTTTGTACACGACATGGTCACTACCCATTTTCTTCTTTGTGCACTACTTCCCTGTAAGTTTAGGAGGGCAAAAGTGTCTCCCACAATACCTGATCCACAGCAGGCTCTCAATAAACATTTACTGAATGAATGAATGAGAATAGACCAAAAAAAAAAAAAAAAAAAAAAAAGATGGCAGGATACAGTGCAAAGAACATTGTATACAGGGCCAGGAGGCTGAGGTTCTAGTCCTGGACCTCACTATGTGACTCTGGGCTCAATTTCCCCACCTTAAAAATGGGGTTCAGTTCAGATGTTCTCTGGGATAACTTTGATATCTAGTAGTTGAAAAGATTACATTCAGTAGGGTAAATACGGAGCTGCAGCTTGGAGGGAAGGAGTGAGCATACAATAGTATCCACCATACAGCCCCAAGGCCCCTAGAGTATACGACTTGGCATGGCTAAGTCTGAAGCAGCGGAAGCAAGGAGCTAGGAAAGGCCAGGGCATGGTCAGGCCAGCAGGAAGGTCTGGGAAGGGGAAAGCATGGACAGAGGGGCTGCGCTAAACCCTGCAAATCAGACGCTTTATCCCTCAGCAGCCAGGACCCCCAAGATACCTGGAGGAGCTCTCACTGCCCTGACACCCTCTTCACCACCCAGCCAGTCTGGGCTCACACTGCCTGAGCCCAGAGATGCCCCACCTCCACCCCAGGCCCAGGGGACCATGGGCGACCCGATGGAGCTCTCCGGATTCCCTGGAGGCTGGCAGGGCGTGGGAATGAGCTGACAGCAGCAGTCATGGGTGCACCACTAGCGCCAGTAAGCTTGCCCTGTGACCGCCCTCTCTGCTCTGGCTCTGCAATCTCCTTCTCCTTGGCCACCCTGGAGAACTGCTCCAGCAGGTGAGAGCCTGGCAGAGGCAGCTGAGAGGAGCCTGGCTGTAGGGAACAGGTACATCTTGCCAAAATGCTCACAGCACCCCACCCACCACAGGTAGAGCTGTGCTCCAGTGTTTGCTACATCAGCACTGTTTTGCATGTTCAGAGGGGTTGGAGCGTTTGTCCCAAGTTTCCAAGTAGCAGAGTGGAGATAAAAACCCAGGGTTTCTGGACTCTACCACTGTGGTCTTTACTGTTGCACACTCCCTCCAGCTAAGTAAGAGATCCTCTCCCATTTCTTCCCCATGGAAACCTTCCATGGTCAGCACCTTCCATGGCCAGGACCTGCTCCAGGACCTCTTCCCAGACTGCTGCAGCCCCCACCTGCCTGTCCTCCTCTCCATCTGGGCCCTGGATCCCCTGTGCTGTCCAGATTCCCACAGATCATCAGGCCTCACCCCGCCAAGGCCCAGCCTTTCCTCTGGTGGCACAAAGAGGCTGCATGTCCCTCCTTCCTGGGGAGGGGACAGCCTTTTTCTGTATTCCCAAGATTGCCATAGCTACCTGATACACTAGTAGCGTTTAATCTACTTGGATCAAGAAAATTTGGAGAATGGGAGAAAGCATCCTTTTTCCAGAAAAATAAGAAACCTGGTTTAGGAACAAGAAGGTGTGGACTAATTTGCGGCCAAGGACAGCAGAGTCAGGAGACCCACACTTGGATCGTAGCGGCCTGGGCCAGTGAGCAGAGACCAGGGCACCACCCCCTGCAAGAACTGTCCCCTCTTCCCGCAACCCCCCGTCCTTAAGGGGTGGAGGGGGAGGGCCACGGGGCTCAGTAAGCCTCAGCCTGGGCCTCTGGGCGCGCTTCCCGCTGCGTGGGCGCGGGGCGGCTGTCACACCACCCCGCCAGGTCCCGAAAGGGAGGAGTGGAGCTTGCTAGCCTCCGCGCACCCAGCCTTCCTCCACCTGCCCGGCGCGCCCAGGACGCTCCCAGCGCTGAACGCCGGGAGAGCTTGCCGGAGGCGGGAGTCGCGGGGTCATGCTCTTGCCCACTAGGTCCTCCGAATCCCTGGCAGGGCAGCGTCTGTCCGTGTCCCCGACCCCTCCCGCAGGCAACTCGCACGAACCCGGGGCTCGCAGACAGCTAGCGCCCGCGGACACCGGCTGAACAGTTTGGAGGCTGCGCGAGGGGGCGCCGCGGGGAGGAATAAAAGCCAGCAACAAAGAGCACAGACCTCGTCCAGCAGTTGGTTCACTCGTCCCAAAATAGCCGTCTCCATTTGCTGCTCCCCGCGCTCCGCTTCCAGGCGCAGCACCCGGGCCTGCAGCTCCGCCGTCCGAAAGTGGGCGAGCAGGCTGAGTGCCAGCGAGCAGAGGGCCAGCGCCAGCAGCCCGCACGACCCTGGACTCGGCGGCCGTGCGCCGCGCTCCGCCCGCGCCGCCGCCAGAGCCACCGTCCCGGGCGCGCCCAACTCCCTAGGGCCGCAGGCACCAGTGGCTGCCGCTTTGTGGGTGCTCTCCGCTACCATCCTCTCACGTCTTGAGAACCAATAAATAAATAAATAGAATAAATAAAGGCGACAGCTGCTGCCAAAAGGCTGTATCCAAACTGCGGGGCAAGGGGGAAAGGGCTTGTATCGCTGGAAAACGTCCCTTTCCGTTGCTCCCGGCAAAGAGGACGGAAAAATTAGCAGTAGGAGGGGAAGGGCCGAAAAAGCACAACCAGCGGTAATTGGGGTACACCTAGGTGAGAAAAAAAGTTATTTCGAAGAACGTTCCAAGTCCAGGAAAGTTAGGGGAATCTGACCGGCTCTCCTTCTCTCCGCCCAGTCTTTCCCTTTAAGAGTCTGCAGAGCAGTTGGTGCCGCGCTGTCAGTCCTCCTGGGCGCCTCGTGTCTCCCGGGCCAGCCTGTTTCAGTCCCCGGGCGAAGGGGCGCACATGGAGGGCCCCATGGGCAGAGGTGGGTAGTGGCGGCTGGCGAGGAGCGCTGGGGCCGATTCCGGCGCCTCTGTAACTTGACACACTCCCTGCGGCTGCACGGATCGGATGAGCAATCCGTGCTACTTCCCAAACTAATCTCTCCCGCCCCCCTCCCTCCTCCTCCTCCTCACTCCTCCTCCACCTCCCGCGGGGCCGACGGCTTGAATTTGTTTATTTATGCAAACTCGCCCGGGGTGGGGGTCGTGGTGAGCAGGTCCGGCGGCCCCAGCCCGCCGGCCCGGGAGCCCCTCTCCCGCGCTCCCGGTCCTCTTTGAAGTGACACTTGGGGTTATTTATAGGCAGGAAGGGGGTGTGGAGTGGAGCTGGGGCTGCACTTCTCTCATTCTCCGGATTCACACCGAGGGCTCGTTTGGCCTTCCACGGAGGCAGTGGGGCAGGCACCACTCCACCTTTCCCAGCCCTTGAGACCCTCCAGGAACCTGGCTGAGTTATTGTCAGGGCTTGTGGGTGAATCTCCACGTCCTGATCTGGACTACCTGATCCCTTCAGCCACTGCTCCTCTACCCCCAAGCCCTCAACCTCTTACCCCTTCCTTCTCCCCCACAACCAGCTCCCTGCGGACTCTGTACCTCCTGAGATCTGCAGCTCCTCCAGTGCCAGGCGGCCAACCACATCTTTACTCTGGGGTGAAAAGTCAGCCCTCCAGGGGGCAGCAGAGCCGACACCCCTTTCTCTCTTTCAGGACCAAGACCTGAGGTAGTATGAGAAACTGAAAACTGAGCAGAAGAGCTTATTCCAGGTATCTGAGAGGTGGCTCAGTGGGGCTGCCTACCAGTCCTGACATCTCCCCTTCTTGCCTGCCACTAATCTGAGACCCCTGCCGTCTATCACTTTGTGGTGAGACCAACCTGCCCCAATCATCACAGTCATCAAAGGTGAGCAATTCCTACATAAACTCTGGCTCCATCCCTGTGGGAGGCTTAGAGCTAACCAGGCTCTCTCCTGCTGTCATTTCCTATACTCCATTAGAGAAAAACTGGTGGCCTGAAGGGCATTTGGTAGTTTTCTCTCTTCTCTTGTCACCTCCTCCACCCCCCACATTAAGTAGCATTTGTATCCCAAGAGACTTTATCTCCTTGTGCCTGTTGACATTCCTGTGAATGAGGTGGTGGGACTGAGTTTTGGGGAGAAAGCCTGTCTTGCGGGAACAGCGGGCAGAGGAGAGAGGACTGGGCTTTCAAATATGCAGTGGAGATGGGGGCAGCAGTGGTGCTAGGATTCCATTTCAAAATAACAGGGAATGCCAGTAGAAACTTCCCATTTTCTATATTGACCTGATGGAACTTGATATATAATACAGTATCACTGCGCTTCTAATAGAGTGTGGCACACTTAATAGTGTGTATTGGACTTGTAATATAGTAAGTACTTAGATCATATATAATAAAGGTGACATTGACTGCTGGGCCAGTCAGCCACTATGGAGGACAACAGGAGTAGAAGGTGATGCTGCTGAAAGAGCCGGTGGCCAGGAGCTCTGGGTTCCAGTTCCAGTTCTAGGATTTCCCTGATGGCTTCAGGGGGCAACGGCACTCTGTTTTCTCCATCCCTGTGATGGGATGTTCCAGTCCACGCTACAGAGGAATCCTTGGGAGAACTCGATGGTATTGAGGAACACCAGGGGGCGCTGGAGAGTTCCTGCACTGGGAGGTACAGGCCCGGAAATTCAGGGACTTTGGACTTCCCCCGCTTCCCTCCCAGGCTAGTCTGAATGGAGGAACTGAGGTGAGGAGTTAGTTTCATTCCCTCCTTATCCTGCAAACTGATCTTTTCCCTTTCAGGACTTTGGAGGCCCTCAGGAATGCTCAGGCAGTGAAATCTAAACATTTGGAGCTGGAGCATCCTTGCGACTGGGAACTGAAGGAGGAGGGTGCTGCGCCAGCCTGACCTGACCCCAGCATCGCAAACCCCGGAGCTTCCAGGGGGACTCTGGAGTCAGAGAAACCCGGGTGTAAATCTCCCTTTTGTCAATATGGAAGTTGCTGAACATCTCTGAGGCTCAGTTTTCTCATTTATAAGATGGGCTGATAATAAAAGCATCTACGCATCTGGAAGGACTGAATGAGGTAATGCATGTAAAGCAGTGAACACAGTGCCGGCACCCTGCAGGCACTCAATGAAGGGCATTAGCCTCCTTCTCTGGAACTCGTGGCTGCTAGGGCCATCTCAGACACAGCTAGCTCTGGGCTCCCAGTTGTGAAACAGGAAGAAGTTTCCATCCCAGAGAAAGCAAATGGATCACAGTTAATCTCCATTTTTTCCCCAACTGATAGCTGAGAGTAGCAGCTTGTGAGCAGCAGGAGTTAGCCTGTGTTGAGGGGCCTGATCCCCAGGTATCCCTCTTCTTCTTTTCTTCTTCCTACACTGCTTGGAATTCTTACCCTGGGATATTTTTCCTTCAGGTAGAGCATTGTCTACCCCAGGCACAAGTTACAGCCTCATGTGGCTTACCTTGAACCCTTCTTTCTTCATAGGTGGGGGCCAGGACCTGCGGACACTGAGGTGAAAAGAGTGCCTTCCAGGAGCTTTAAAAACAGTTGGTTAAGGAAGACAAGTCATGTTCACATAAAACTGCCACAAAAGGCAAAATAGCGAAAATCCACAAAACATGTAAAGACCATAAACGGTGCTTCAGGGCTCCCAGAAGAAAGGCGGGGATTCAGATGCCTCAGGAAAAACACCCAGGAAATAGATTTTCTTGTTTGCAGTCAGAAGAGAGAGGGCCTCCAATGCTAACCCAAAGACTTTGATTTTGAACTGTGGTCTTGGTTACACGCCTAGACAAAAATGAAGAAAAAATGCCCCAGGCATACAACCTGCACTGTTCTTCAAGTCTTTTCTGTGTTTTTCCACTTTTTTGCTCCTGCTAGACCCTCTGCCAGGAAGGCCACCCTTCTCTCTTCCATTTTCTACACCTTAAAATCCTACCATTTGCTCCCAGCCCATTTTTATTGAGCAAACCCCATTTCTTTTCCTCCACTGTGGCTTTGACAGCATCAAACTCCTTCCTGAAACCAAAACTGCCACTGTGGCATCTCCAAGGCCCAGCTGTGCTGTCTCCCACTGCCTCTCCCACCAGCTTTTCAGGCTTCCCCAAAGATTCCTCTTCTGCTCCCCATGACAAAAGCAAAGGTCAGCCCTCCTCCAGAAGGCCGCAGGTCCTCTGTCCTCTGCTTGACTGTTCTGCCCATGGCTGTTGACCTGCCTCTCCCATTTCTTCCCCATGGAAAGCTTCCATGGCCAGGACCTGTCCCAGGTCCCCTGTAGAGGCCACAGGGGAGCCAACACCCATCACTTTATTTGCCCTGAGCCTAGTCCCCCTTTTCCTAGTAACTGTGCCTCAGTTTCCTTTGGGGAACCTTCTCCCCAGGACATATGGCTCTGGTGGGGTTAACTCCATACCTGGCATATGAATAGGAAGTAACCTCACCAGTTGGCCTCTCTCATCTCCCCTGGCTACTGTGATTAGGTCAGCGAGGACATGTGGCCCAGTTCAGGCCAGTGAGAGTTGGACTAGAGTGACTGGGAACGACAGCTATTTCCTTGGAAGGGCTTTCTAAAGGGATGAGCTGGAGTTGCTGTAGCTGTCTTGCCACTGTTGATAAATGAGGATGAAGCCAACACGGAGGCAAACAGAGGTGGAGACCGACTGAGTCCTGAAGACATCATCGAATCCCTTCAATCAAATTGTGCCAGAAGCCTGGTGACAAGAGTCCTTTCTGCTCCAGCCAGTTTGAGTTGGGTTTCTTTTCTTGCATGTATAAGAGCCCAGTCACATATAGGGCCTCAGGCTACCTTTCTGAGTCAGAATCTCTTTGTGGTTGTTAGGAGGAGATGGCAAGGAAGTCCAGGTTCCTGTCTGCTTCTAAAAGCTTCCCGAGGGATTGGGAGGTCCACCTAGGGAAGAGCCTGGACTAAGCGCTCACCCTGGGAGAACTTGTCCATCGTAGGCTCCAGTTTCTATCTCTCTGCGGACAACTCTCCCACTCAAACACACAGTTCATGTCCCACGCACAGCTTGCTCACGATGGCTCTTGAAGCGCCCCTCCCCTCCACCTCACACTCAGCTTCCCCACACCCTCCCTGCCCTTTGTTCCCTCGGTGCCATATATGGCATCACCCTGTGCTCAGCTGGGATGTTTGCTTTCTCCCTGCCCTCTCTTCCCTCACTCACTTGAGTTGGGACTAGTCCTGGAGATTCCACCTCCTTCCCTTTTTTTCGGATCTGTTCCTCCTCTCTGACCTCTCTGCTTCTGTTGTCTACCCCAAGCCTAAGGTTTTTTTGTTTTTGTTTTTTGTTTGTTTGTTTTTGTTTGTTTCAAGATGGAGTCTTGCTCTGTCACCCAGGCTGGAGTGCAGTGGTGCAGTCTCGGCTCACTGAAGCCTCCACCTCCTGGGTTCAAGCGATTCTCCTTCCTCAGCCTCCCGAGTAGTTGGAATTACAAGCATGTGCAACCATGCCCGGCTAATTTTTGCATTTTTAGTAGAGATGGGGTTTCACCCTGTTGGTCAGGCTGGTCTTGAGCTTTTGATCCACCTACCTCGGCCTCCCAAAGTGTTGGGATTACAGGCGTAAGCCACTGTGCCCAGCCCAAGCCTAGGTCTTAAAACAAGCCCAACTTTCCCATACTGTAGCCAGAACAGGCAAAACCATGGAGGTGTGGACGGGGACCTGCCAGAGCCTCCCCAAGGAGCTCCAGACTTTCTGTTTCTTACTTCTGTCCCAGGCTTTATGATCCCTGGCATGACACTCAGTTTTCTAGCTCTGCTTCTGACTCCTGCATCAAGCAACAAGATAGAAGGGTACCTGGGCCCCTGGTGGCTTCATGGAGTCGAGTTGCCAAACAAGCCTAGACTTTCACATAAATGAGAAATAACTGAGTTCATTTGAGCCGCTGTTATTCTGAGTCTGTCTGCTGTAGCTTAAGCCGCTTCTAACTGTGACTTGCATCTGTCTCCTCCTGAGCTGTGAGTTCCCAGAGGGCAGGGATGACTGTACTCATCCCCATATCCTCAGCACTCAGCACAGGGTAGATGCCCAAGCCATGGTGGAATGAAGGAAAGAGTGAGCAAAGGGTGGAATGAATGGATGGATTCTAGCTCTGGCT